TGTACAATTGCAGAGTAGTTATATATTGTCGCATATACATTCTAAACTTCCATTGAGGATTAGGATATTTCGTTACTACTGCATAAAATAGGCTGTTTTCCAAGCAGTAGCCCAATTATTTTACGATTGAACATGAACATGTGAAATAAAACGACGAAAGTGAAAGTGCCTGTGAAATCGTGCAACACAGTTCAATTCCATCGTTTATATTTCTGTAATTAGGCTTTCGGATTAGATTTTTTCACTAACACAACGTTGACCAGTCTTTTCTCTATATCGTAAGTCGATTTTCCTATGATTACCACCATTCGTGTTAGAATTTAGTGACGAAGGTGTCAGTGGCTGTGAAATTGTGATGCGTAGTAGACTCTTTTCCCTTCTACTTCCGAAATTAAGCTATTCGATTAGGTTTATTCTGTATATCCGCGTAGAGGGAATTCTTCCATAATGGGATTGGATATTTTTTTTCGGTTTCGAGCGTGCGTTTTCGAATAATAGTGCCGAATGTGTCAGGGACTGTAGAATCGTGCAGCGTAATAGACTTTTTTGGCTTCTATTTTTTGAATTAGGTTTCTGAATCGTATTTTTCCATATATTCGCGTAGAGTGATTCTTTCCTTAACGGGATTGGATATTTTTTTTCGGTTTCGAGCGTGCGTTTTAGAATAATAGTGCCGAAGGTGTCAGTGGCTTTTAGATCGTGCTGCGTAATAGACTTTTTTGCCTTCTATTTTTTGAACTAGGCTTTTTGAAACCGATTTTTCCACATATTCGCGTAGAGTGATTCTTTCCTTAATAGGATTGGATATTTTTTTTCGGTTTCGAGCGTGCGTTTTAGAATAATAGTGCCGAAGGTGTCAGTGGCTTTTAGATCGTGCTGCGTAATAGACTTTCTTGCCTTCTATTTTTTGAATTAGGCTTTTTGAATCGGATTTTTCCACATATTCGCGTAGAGTGATTTTTTCCTTAACGGGATTGGATATTTTTTTTCGGTTTCGAGCGTGCGTTTTCGAATAATAGTGCCGAAGGTGTCAGTGGCTTTCAGATCGTGCTGCGTAATAGACTTTTTTGGCTTCTATTTTTTGAATTAGGCTTTTTGAATCGGATTTTTCCACATATTCGCGTAGAGTGATTTTTTCCTTAACGGGATTGGATATTTTTTTTCGGTTTCGAG